GGGGGGTTGAGATTGTAAAAGTACAATAGAAACAGTCAGGAGAGTTCTGGAATAAAATAATCAGAAATATATTACATTTTCCCCCCCAGCTTTTTCTCTGAAAGTTAGATTAGTTTAGTAAGAGTTTTACGGGACTGGCAACTACATAATAAGGTCCGAAATTTAAATTGGACGTCATGTTCCTTATCAATCTGTCAACTTCATGATGGCTAGTAAATTTGGGGGTTTTAGTTTTAGTTTCAGTGAGAGTCTATTAACTCTTTAAGGACGGTGCGGACGTATGTGTCCGACCAGTAATCAGTAGCAGACCAAAGGCGACATTGCGGCACATTTCGACCCATAATACACGAACCAAATACGTCAATTTGCATATTTCATAGCGTGCATACATTATGGCCTGCCTCATTAAAGTTTCAGGCAAAGAAAACAAAATGGAAAAATCTGCAAGAAAAACGAAGTTGTGCCTTTATATTTTAAAAGTATATACATGTATTATGTACTCCGAAACAGTGCGTCTTCAATGAGTTAACACTTGCAATACAGTCAGGTCCTAAGGTCGCTCATAAGGACAAGCGGGCGAACCCAGATTTCGGGGGTTTCCAGAAATCTTGACCTACACCAAAAGTGGGCATTGCCCTACCTATTGGAGAAGTTTGGTTTCAATGGTGTGTATATTTATTGTTTGGTTATAGAGAAAACTCTCCATGTCTTTTGAAGAAATCGAACTCAAAACAGCATTTTTCGGAATAGCCCCCTTGTGCTTAAAAGCGACCATAAAAGGACTGAAGATTCGAGTTGTTACTAGAGAGAAACATACCAAAAAAAACAAAGAAAAAAAAACAAGAAAGAGGAGAGATATATACGATAGATGTCTGATAATGGGTAAGAAGGAACAAACCACACCAAGCCACCCACCAACAACCCACCACTAAGGCGTTAAATCATGGGTGGTTGGTGGGTGCTCTTATGTGGTTTGTTCCTTCTTTCCTATCAAACATCTATCGTCCTTGTCTCTCCTTCTTTGTGTTTGTTACTCTCTTGTAACACCTCTATCCACAATTGTGACAGTGGAATAATCGGTCTGGACAATGTTATAAAATGCTGGTAACACACTACATCCAGATTACAGCAGCTTAGCAGAAGAAAACTTAGAGTTTTGAATTGGATTATATGACCTAACTGTGTCGCAAATTCTGTAAAATGCTTACTTAAACAACAACAGGACATTTACAAGCAGAAGTAGTTTGCGTAGACGCTAGCGAGCGCTTACCTCGACATAGTCGTAGAAACATCCAGAAGCTTCCAGGTCAAAAGGCGCGTTGAACCTCAGACGAACCACAAAGCCTAAGGCCACGTTCAAATCCCAGCGACACTTAAAGAAGATGGCATACAGGGACATGAGAGTATGCAACAGATTCGTTATTGCAGACAGCAATAAATACCTGAATATACACATAATACACACACACACACACACACACACACACACACACACACACACACACACACACACAT